GCTGCAGGACGCGGCAGCCATCATCGAATGCTAATGAGGGGTTGGCGGCTTTTGGGGCGGAAGATTCAGTCCATGCAGTGGCGCACTGTTGCCAGAGAAACGGTCTGATTATAAATTATACATTATCTCGTACTAGCCTCGTGTACACACCGAAATCCAACTAGACGTACGCAGGACTACCCTGGCCTAAGTCATCAAAATGCACAGCGTCCGAGGGACCAACGGACAGATTAAAAAGATCGTGCAAGGGTTGCCGCGTGGTATTATCTCCCAGGTAGGAAAAATCGCGTTATACCCTTTTGCACGTCTTTGGATCATTGCTCACCCCTTTCACCGAAATGGCCGCGCCACATTTTTATCGCTTCGATCGCCTGACAAGTTCGCCAGGAATTGCTACTTGTTCTCTTTATTGCGTTACTTATTTACCTTTTACGCCTGGATTTTGGAGAGCACTTAGCGACGAAACTGTTCTGTTAGGATACTTTGAGTGTTAAAATAAAATCTTTGACAGAAAGGTGTAATAAAAATAAATTTGGAAAAATTAAATGTTACTGGATCTAACGTTTTAATTGTTCAAGTAATAACTAGTATCGAACTCGGTCCATGTGTAAATATGATTTATGCCATGAGTCTAACTCGATGTTAAAGCAAGTAATAAAGTAACCGAAGTGTTCCCAAAGCAATTTGTTTATTTTCCTGCACCTCTTCAAGATCAAGAAGGAGTATACTTGCAACGACTAAGAACGTTTCTCGGTGTACCAGCATAAAAAAACGAGATGCAACTTGTAATTTGAAAGATTTTACTGTTATTGACCCCCTTTTGTTACGGTTACGGGGAAAACGTTTCTGAGAACGACACCGTAGCACAGCAGGGGTTAATCAAAGGGTGGAGAAGAAGCGCGGAACTACTGCTTCGAGTGAGTAAGCTAACAAGAATGTTTGCCTGGTGTACTGTTGCCGGCAGATCGAACTGTTTATATATTATACATTATCTCGTGATAGCCGAGCGTATACAAAATCAGGCTAGACATTTACCGGTCAGCGAACTGTATTGCGAAAGCGCCAAAACATTCGGCGCCAACGGAGTAAAAAAATAAACCGAAAAATGAGATCATCCTTAATATTTTTCTGATTTTTTTATAAAATACATGCGATACAATGTGAATACAAATAGCTTGCATTTTTTTCAACTGACAGGCTACCGCTATTACGTCATCGTTATTCGTGTATAACAAATTACCTAATAAAATAAAACTTATCGAATAATTTGTGTCCCTCGCACGTAATCCACGTACCCATTACGTCGTCTTGTATAATATTTTCTAGCGTCATAATATAAATTCGTGCAAAATTTGGTCGCGGTTCAAACGGATTCTTGCTCTCAGAAATGATTCGGAGCCATCAGCAGGCCGCCGATCCCTGACCTCAAAATGCAGCATACGTTCACATACCGAGAATGAAAGATTAGATACACATAGTATCTCCTTCGAGTTAATTTTGTGTTATAAAATGGATGCGTTTCTTTCCCAATTTTATGACTTTGCTACTGACCGAGAATAACTCGAAGAAGAACGAGACATATCGAGGATCCTCCATGACACTTTACAAATGTATGCTTTACATTTGGAAAAAATATTTTACATGTCATAATATATACTATAGACTACAGTATCTTTCGTATTTTATTACAATTTAACTTGGCAAGTTTGCATAATTCAGAAATATCGACATCTCAATCTTTCAGTTTTCGATTTAAAAAATTTTTCAATCTAAATTTAATATTTTACTACTTGTCAAATTCACGAATTTTACAATTCTGAAATTTCTAACGTCCTCCACATTTAATTCTCAAGTTCTATCTTTCAAATCCTCAAGTATATTTCACTTGCATGGCCAACAGCGCTTTCGCGGGCAGAATTGCTCATCACAGTTCCTGATAATTGATGTTGGAGATCTCTCGACCAAAGTGAAATTAAGTCGAATAACGATAATAGTAATAATGAATCGGTACAGAGAAGGGTCTATCACAGAGTACATTCGCGAAGCCACCCAGTTGCCAATCCCAATTCTAAACTCGAAAACGCAGTACGTTCACGTACTGGCGATAGATTACGGCCATAGACACGGCGACGGATATTGCATCCAGTGGAAGAAAAAGAACGGAGCGCTTGAGTTGAATTCAAAGTGCTATTCTTATATTATTACTTTATTGCGAATGAGGCTGGGCGACCAAGAATTTCAACCGTGACATTTTCCGATATTTAAATTTTTCAAAAACAATTATGCTGCGACAAGAACATTTAACAATTATAGACACAATTTTTTTACGTTGAAACCGCAGAAAAATTATTAACTATTGCGGATACTAAATGAAAATTGCAAATATGATTCTATTAATAATCTTCCATTAGGTATAACGAGGAACTTCACACTGTAGGAGTCATAGATCCCAACGAATTATGCGGTAGTTAAGGCGCTAACGATTAATTGTATGTAAATGTAAATCGATAATTAAATAATGCGGAACTACATGCTACTGCAAGTGCGTATGTATTTTGCAAGCTAAAAGTTTCCAACTACTAGCAAAACAGATGGATCGAAGTCTCAAAATTTTAGTATAACTATAGAAACTCGGAAACGACAAAATCCTAAATTGTAAAAATTCCAAAACCCCAAATTCTCAGCGTCCCAAACCACAAAAATTCTAAAGTTGCGAATTCCCCAATGCCTCATAAAAGTTACAAGAACTAAACAGCTATTTTACATACGCTTAAAAATTAATGCAAAGTTGGGCCGAAGTACATTCTACCGGGGTCGACGAATGCAAACGAAGGATGTGGATAACGATTAAGAATAACAATTAATTTGCATTGCGCCATCGATCAATTTTTGCAACGAACTAGACAGGTTGAAGAACTGGCGAGTGTCCGCGCATCGCGATTATCCATGCAAAAGAGATCGAGGTAAAAGAAATAAACGAGGAACGAGAGACATGCATTATGCATCTTGCGTCCGGGACTAACGTTGATTCGCGTACATAACTTCAATTGCAATTAGTCAAACATCCTGGAGGTCTCTGTACAACGTTCCCACAGGTATTTCGGCTGACGCACCCCAACTTCCAAATGCATTAACGTCACGTCTCTTTCGCGCATGGACGCTTCGTCGCCGTCGACGCCACCAGAAAAGCGACGCATCCACGGAGCCGCAACTCGAAACCTGCTTACACAATCGTGTTTGTAAAACACGAGCCAATTCGTCTTTGATATCGATACGCGAGCCGTTAAGAACCTGAGACACTCGTTAAGTCTTTTACCGCACCGCCACTGCTACGATCATTGCAAGCTGATTGCCAAACAATTTACTATTTTGATGCTCTTAGAAGACATTTGTGCTCTGTCGTGAATCAATGACTTGATTGCTGTATGCTTTAATTGACTAACATGCATAGATACGTATTGTCACGGTAATGAAAGTGCGAGAGGTTTTATCTTGATTGGATATTAACCATAGTTCAACACATGGTTAAGTACACCTACTAGGTCTCGAACAATTAGCAGTCGATTTTCGAAGATGCGTGTAAGTAAACGCCCACAGAGAACTGTTTTAACATTTCTACCTTACAACTAACAGTCTGATACCTAATATGCGATTTTCAAAAAATTTGAATAAGTTAATGTACGTAATGGTAAAAGATCGATAAGTAAGGAATATAAAGAAGGATTAATCGTTACGTTTATTTTAATTCGAAGGTTTGGCCGCAATAACAGAGTAACCGGAACAAATTGGGAGTCGATACGCTGATAGGTTAACAGCGATGATCGTACGCGATCGACTTCCCATGGCAATCACGGTACCCTTATTTGAAATTATGATTCGGCCAATGTAAATAAACCATCGCGATAAGCCCGACGGCAGAAGTTTTACTTTCACCTAAACGCTATTACTCCGTCATAGCGGGGCCTGTAATAGGCCGTATAAAAGATAGTCACGGGGATAATTTGCGGGCAACATTATCACGGCGACGACAGGTGTAGTTAGCCGTATACATGTCCTTCTTGCATGCGCGACCAACATAAACGAATAGGGTACCGAGTCAGTAGCACGTGTTACCGGCACCAAGATTCGAGTAAACGACCTCTACATACTTGCCCTTGACTTTCCACTGACACACTTTTTAACGACGGTCTGGCTACGTCGAGGACACTTTTTTTCATCGACGTTACGAATCGGAGCGCAGCGCCATCTTATAAAAGCGCCAACTGCCGAAGCATCGAGATCAAACGCGGAACAGGCGCACGGATTAGCTCTTAACGCCGTTGCTTGAAATTGTGAGTGAAGTTTAACGGTGCACACGCACACGCTGCTTTTATCGTTGAACTCCGAGCTTGCTCTAAACTTGCTCCGTCGAGGAACCTCGCGCGTATACCATGCGAGAGAACGTAACCTCAAATCTTGCGAAACCGTTCAGCTTAATGATCTCAGTTTCCGACGAAGGAACGCGTCGCGAGGTTAACAATTTCCGCTCAGAAGTTGGAAATTCGGTCGAAATAGGAACCACGAGAAAGTGGTAACCATCTTGCACGACTATGTGCGTTCCGTGAATGGAAGTGGTTCTCGTGCGTCGAGAAATATGGCTGCCATATGTGGCGGCGCCCTCGGATTTACCCTGCCTCGTTTTACCTCCTTGACCGTTTCCAGTGAACGATCTTTAACGTTCCGTTCGATGTTCGAGACTCTTACTCGAGTCACCGTGTGTTCAACTTCCAGGTTCGCGAACGGAGTTATAGCGAGGCTATCTTCACTCTATTACTATGTAAACTTGGCCTAACCGGAGATACGAGCAATTTCGAAGTAAGAAAGTACGAAAATGCTCTCGTTTCGGAATCGAACAGAAAAACCTCGTCTTCAATATCAAGAAAAGGAAAAAAAAAATATTTTCTGCAAAGATGTTTCAGCGAATAGCGAGAATGATAACGAGAATAAGAGATGGTACTCACCGCACACGACTCTGTCGAACGGGCTCATCCAATCTGAAAGCAGAAATAAAAACGAACTGTAATTAAGAACAGAGGGAAAGAGAGCATCAAATCGATCCGATAGGAAAATTATCTGGCGTTTCAACCGAACCGTGAAAAAGCATGCACTTCAGATAAAACTACCCACCACAAGCACGGAGAGGCACGATAGAGAATGCGGTTACCGAAAGAGATAAAGGAAGACGGAGAGAGAAGCCGCGTGTAAGCGAAACTTATTCCAACGGATACGCAATTAGAAAGTAGGAAATTCGCGGCAACTCGACACGCAAAGCTTCTCTCGCTGTAACTTCGCCTGCTAGGAACGAGGATTAGAGGAACGATCGTGAACGTTCGACCGTATCGGGCTTAATCCCGTGTTCCTTCCTTTCTTCGTTTTCTGTGCAGTATCGGCGTTAGAGACGACCGAACGGAGCAATTACCCCGCGACCCGCTTTTATGACCTTTCGAATTTTGCGAAAATTAAATAAATCAGTTTCGAGAAACCACATTTTGCGGGTATATGGAGCGAGATGATGCGAAACGGCCGATATAACGGGTGGCGCATACAACGCGTAGCGAACATAACGTGTAACAATACGTGACATAACAAGTGGTACTTCAGTGCGAAGTATAACAACGCGTAGAATTTCAACACGTAGTAATCCAACGCGTAATACAACGTCTTGCGGTATAACCCTCAACCATTCAGCGCATAGCGGTACAACGCGAGGCGATATAACACGTATCAATATAATACATAGCGGTAGAGCACACAGAGATCACGGCAATATAACGAAATCTACGGTAAATATATTCGGTACCGACTTCTACCCCGGGTCCTACAAACTAAAGTGACGGCACTGACTCCGCGATTAAACGAAAATGTCGGATTAGGCTGACGTCGGTAACGCAAAGTCCGATTGAAAGGACGCGAACAAACTGTTTCGAAAGCTGAAGCAGAGGAGTTCTGATCGCGGAATCTAATCAACGACTATTCGTTGTTCGAGACGCCATCCAACCGCGGCTCGGAATTCATCCCAATAAATCTTTTGCATTACGTTCTGACGACTATCGCCGAGGGAATTGCCGTTCCCTTCGTTCTCGCCTCGTAAAGTTATTCTTACGCACTCGTAAAGCAGATAAGGACTTTATTGAATCACGAATAGACACTTCTTGCGAACGTTGCCCGATAAGACTCGCAGCGCCACGTCGGATGAAGAAAAAAAAAAGACAGCCGTCTCTGTTCGCTGATGTTTCTTCGTCGATCTAGTGGCAACTATTGCGACCATTGGCGTAACTAGGAAGGGAGCCAGATCTCCTATCTATCGAGTGTCTGGCGTTATTTAGTTCTAACGTAATTCGTAACGCCAGGAAATATGAACGTTAATGCAGTCTTTGTTCAGTTGCATTCTGTGTTACATTTTGATCTACACGATTCTACAAATTAATTTCTGATTAACCAACAAATATTTGTTATTTTAATTAATTTTATACCTGTGCACTAAGTCCACTCCTCCGTTTCTCCTATTTTATTTTTGTGCAAGAAAATATTGGCAGTGTGCCTACTTTCTTTTTTTATAAGCGAGGAAAATAGACTTGGGTTACTGGCCCCCAGGTATAACGTTTATGACGGTTTGGGTCACTCCGACCCTCGCCTGGTTACGCCAATGATTACCGCTAATATAAACTGACGGTAGTTGTAAATTATAGCGAAGCACGTGTTGAGAAAAAATGATGACTGCTTTGCGATTTATCCGTCGGTTTGATGCTATCGGCGCTGTCGTAGCCATTTTGCGAACGCGGCGCGACGGTCGCCTTCAAAAAATGCCTGAGCGCCGGAAGATGGCTGCGATTAGCGCAACTTCTTTGTTCAAACCGTTTCCGACTATGCATTAAATTAATAAATTAACTTGCAACCCTCGTGTTTTATTCCCTGCAATCATGAATTTAAAAAACTAATAAAAATAACTCAACTACGCATATATATAAAAATTTAAAGATTTCTACCTAAGCATGAATTCGATAGCTTTGAAAGTGAAACGAAAGAGATGTATCGAATAAAACCGAGACCTGTTCTATCTCCAAAATCGAATAATTAATAATTAATTGGTCAGCCTCTCGCCATGCACGAAGAGCAAGTTCTGTATTGAAACAACTCAGTTAGTAACAGTCAAACGGTTAACAGCTGGGCAACAGTTCTGTTGAAAAGCCGTCAGTCTGTCCAAAAGATAACTTACAGCACGAGTAATTCGCAAATATAATGCGCATCTTTCTCTCCTCATTTTGTGCCGATGAAAAAAACGCATGAACGTTTAATGCGCTACGAGAAAACGTTATTACACGGTGCTGATAACGGAACAGGCTTCAGAAAATAATTTGCATACCGAATGTTTACAACTTCATCCAAGTATGTATCCGCTCCTTGTGCGTATCATAAAGAATGCCAAAGACAGAGAAAGTTTTGTCAACGATGTAATTTAAAGTCTAGCGCTAGAGAAGCATTGATTACTGAATTTTGGTTATCGTAGACGTCTAATAACACTTTTAATTAGGAACCGTTTATATTGCAATAATGTTAATCGTGGATATTGCTTGGAACGTGTTACTATATAACGGGTGGCAGTGAAATTCGTTTTGGATAGAATGTGAAGATACACCCTTAGAAAGTACAGTGTCTAGTGGATACAACACGTGGAAAATAAAACGCAAGGAAAGTACAACGCAAGGAAAATACAACGTGTGAAAAATACATCACGTGGAAAATACAACAACAAAAGGAAATCGCGTGGAAAATGTAGTGCATGGAAACCACAATGCGTGCAAAACAACGCGCAGAAAATACAATGCGTAATAATCTACCGCGTTATTATACAGTACATGGAGAATACAACACACGACATATACAACACGTGCACACAACACAGAGGAAATACAACACGCGAGGAATGCAACGCACAAAATACCACACATGGAGGATACACTGCAAAGCAAATAAAATACATTTAGAAAACATTGCATAGCGAATGCAATACATGGTGACCGAACACGTTGCCACATAATTCGTGGTGAATGCATCACGCTAGGTTACTTACAAGATGATAGGCTATTTTCGGGCATATGGTTAGTGTACAAAATTTACAAAATCTTTTGGTATATCAGGTGACCATATAATGTGATCTCCCCTTATCGAAAAACATGGACTCAAATAACACAAGTTCCAGTTAATGAGTGTAACATAAACCTTGTTGTATAGAGAAATATTATAGTTACAATCCACATGTGATAGATATGGATAGTGCATGTAAAAATTGTCGCGCTGAGGATTCAAGATGGCGTAACTGTCCTGGCAGCAAGCAATCGAAGAAAGAACTTGTCTACAACCAAATTATAATATTCGTGATCAGATACTCATTTCGACAGTGTGTCTCGAAATTCGACATGTCAGTCGGACTTTGTCATCCGTTGAATAAAGTACACCTCAAAGTCTACTGTTTCACGAAAGAATGAAAGTGCGGCACGCTATCTACCTCGAAAGAAAATTTCTGTTCCAACGGTCGTCAACTTCAAGTAAAGTTGTCTATAGAGTTTGTAGAACCCGAGGTTAAAGTGAATATCACCGAAAACAGGTAATCTTGCTTTTCTACTTGGAACATTAGGGTCGAAAGAATCTACCCAGATAAAATAACGTAGTGGCTTTAAATGTATGGCAAAATGTCGACTTGCTTAGAGTGTAATAAAATTTGGAAAAATACGTCTGACGATTAGATACATTTAATTAAGTCAATTTTTATAAAACGTGGAAGTGTCTAAGTTCAAAGTGTCTAATCTATTAAATTTCTGATACGGTATTAACCCTTGTGTACCGGGTCAATAGTGACCCAGACCTACAAAATTGTTCATTGTTATTTTGACCAATGTCCGTTTTTATTAGTAAACAAAAGGGCCTCATAATTGATGAAATATAAAAAAATGGTTATAAAATGAAACCTAAACTGTCGTCTCAATGCTCCGAAGAATTAACGTCATCCGATTTAACACAAATCCCGAAGACAAAATCTCCCGATGAGTGTTATTTCCGCCGAAACCTTGAACGGTTTTCATTAAATTCTGCTCAGAAGACAAAAGAAGTATCCGTCGAAAATTTATTCCCGTTGTTTCGCGCGAGTCATCGCGGCAGCAAACACAAAAAACAATACGAAGAGCGTATTGGTCGGCTGTTAAAAATACGCGAATAGCTATTCAGCCGCCATCACCGCGAAGAAACGAAGCATCAACGACACGAGGTTAAGTTTCGCTTGTCCGTCGCAAATACACGCGTTAAAACTCCCTCGGCCACTTTGTTCGTGCTAATACGCCGGACAAAGGCGCTGCTACAAGCGATACAAGCGAAAATACATTATGGCGGAACACGGTGAATAGCTTGGTCGCCGAACCGACTAGACGCGACGTCTCGAGGCCTGCCAAAGTGACGCTATTGTTTCCGGCAAATTGCAAATCGACGAATTTCCAAATAACTGTGTCTTTTATTGCCGTGTTTTTCTTGCAACCGCGATTATAGACGAATACGACTGTTTCTTCTGTAAATTAATGCACGTGCCTGAAAATTAGCTTGCTTTTTCTGTGACACGAAAACACGTTCCAGTCACGAGCATTCGTGTCAACGTTTTTGTCCTCGTGATACGTTTTACGACGTTCGAAATATTAAATAAAATCTTATGCTTCGTTTCAGACACGCATTTAAAACTATCAATAATTTGATTCGATAATTTTTATAAAAATTGAGTTTCTGCTGGAAAAGTTCCATCATTTGCTTCTGGTTCAATCGCTCCATCCAAATACGTATTCCAGGTTAGTTCCGTTACCAGATTTAACGCTATCATCAAAGTTATCGAACCTGAAAGAACCTATTTTCCTTTCTCGTATTTATCTCAGCTTCTCCAGACACTAATTGTGGAAACTAATTGTACCTCGTTTAATCAAATCTATCATTCTGCACGATAGCACAGATAAGAAACTCGAATTAACGTTGTAAAAATTTATGCTAAGTCCTTATAGCCTCAGGAAGAACTAGACCAATCTGTATATTTATGATGACGTGAGCTCCATATTAATGTATCGTAACAATTAGCTTATGACAGTGCTACTTCAGTGGGAACCGACGGTGCTTTTAACAAGGATTTTACGAAGGTGTAACAATGCTTGAACAGTGCCCCCTGCAGAAAGAATAACTATAAACACGTGTACCGTAGGTCAGTTTTCATCCACTCTTCAACATCGATGGAACAACCGTTCATTCCCAGTTTCTCATATCGTATTTATGGTTTCAAAACGGTAGTATACAAACGAATAATAGACACAGCAAGTATGTTAATGCCAAAAGAGAAAGGAACAAGAAATTCGTGTACAGATAAAGCTCGTATTTCTCGATAACGATAGCGGCGGTATTATTGCACCCGCCAAAAAGTCCGGTGCTTATCAGTAGACGATATTAATGTCACTTTATGTGTCAATGATTTCTTCTTTCTGAGGTGCGTAAGTACTCCTGAAACTTAGGGAGTCTCTCAAAATCTGGACAATCATGAACATCTATTGTCACTTACGCTTTAAACCCTAGCTATTACAAGACTATTATTCATTGGAATTTGTATTTTATTAGTGAACCTTGACCAGAATTTGTAAAACAAGTGGCAATGCGCGATCAGATTTTGGACACCCTTTCAGAGCATTGTATAAAAACACTGTCAAGGTTAACGAAGTTTATCATCTGTTATAAAGAGATAGAGATGGGAGATTGAAGGGTATAAAAACATGGCGTAAAAGATGTGTGTGGTACACAGTGGATGTTGCAAATCGCGTGCCACTTTCAGTCAGCGAAATTTTGTATTAAATATATATTTACATCGACGATAACCTTTCGCAGTTCCTCTATAGATGTTACAAATAATTCTCAATCCAACTCGAAGTAATTAGACCGACTCCAGTAGATAGATATCGGGATAAACGTCGAGAACAAAAAAGATTCCACATCCATCAGCTGTATATACGATTCATAGTCGAATTTCTAAAAGAAACGAGATAATTTGTCCAATCCAATTTTCACGATAAATCCACACCCGAAGCAAGTGTATTTTATTACACGGAGCAGTGTTACCCGTACTTGAAAATTCGTGACACTACGTTCAATAACAATACTCGTACAAAATCGACTGGATTTAACGATCATGCAACAGACGCGGACGTTATCGTTATCTGCCGCGCATTATTAAGAATAACATGTGACGCCAAGTCATTAACGCGTGTCGATAGCGTAATACAACGAGCAAGATGACGACGTGCCGAATAGGCCATTTCACAGTCTCGATAAAGCAATTCTATTATTGATTCCACGTTGTTTCTTTCTTTCCTGCACGGTCAATTTAACGCCATATTGAATACAAACGATAGCGGTCACGAATCGACGGATCCATCATCCGGAGCCAGCTTATCGCCGGAGATGGGATTAAATTCAATATGGACAAAGCCCGAACTTTGCTATATTGAATTTGGATACTTTTCGTAGACGGTGACGTTTCATTCCGTATACTTAAAAACTACTTGGATGATACAAGTTGACTCTGAAATTAATTCTTACAGGATTCGAGTACTTGTGATGCTATTCGAAATTTTTTGGTCAAATGCGAACCCATAATATCACAGTTACAGTGTGGAAGACATGTTTGACAGCAAATCTCAGAAATTTATGATCAACAATTTTTATATATTTGCTGCAAGAATTGGGGTACAGAATCTAGATTAAACTTCCATATTCCAAACTAGGACTGGGTTAATTTACTGAAGAGTGAATGTATTAACGTTATTAATGCTCAGCCGGACAGTTACTAAGATAATAACAATTTAGATATAATTTTATACCATGTACTGTTTTTATTCTAATCCTAGAATACTATTCTATGAAGTATGTTGTGTGAAACCCTTTTATTCAAAAACCGATACGTCCATCATTCAAATACCCTTGAATAATTTCGTAGGTAAGGGTCATGGCTGACCTAGCGTCGGCTGCCCGAGGGTGAAAGAATCTTGGGACCTCATGAACAGCCCAAAGAGTGAAAACTATAAGAAATAACGACTTTCGAGAAAGGCCTATCGTTTTTTGTACCATAATAAATCATAACAATTCGATTGCAAAGTAATCTACATGATTCTACAATCTTTTACTATCGCGTAAAGTGGTAATGTACGATTTTCATACAATACCGCTGCACGCAGACATTGCGCGACAGGTATCTACAACGCTGTAACAAAATAGAAAGAGGTTTTCGCGCGTAATGACGCCTATTTCGCATCGAAACGTAAAACGGGCTAGAGTCGAAAGATCGACCGATATTTCTGGATGCTATTAGTACTTATCGCCGCTTCGCATCATTCGCTTGTAAGAAGGAAATGTTAAACGGTTATAACACGATCGCGCGATACACGCGGTTAACTCGTAAGCCATCTTAGCTCTCTAATCTCGAGATGGTGGGCAAACGATTGCCCGTTCAACAATATTCGACTTTGTTCATCGTAGCGGAACAACACTCCAGCTGCTTACCGGAGCGACTCGAGGGTGTAACTACACGAGCATGCATGGTTGAACTAGGAACGAGTAAAAAGCGCAAAAGAGAGAATCGGTAGCGAGCAGAAGAATAAAAAAGCAGGTTGAACTCACCGGTGATCGACATCCAGGGATATCGAGGTATGTCCGAAATGCCGGGTTGTCCGGTGGTGGGTTGTTGGCAGGACGTGAGAGGATCGACGACGGCCGATGCAGCGGCTGCCTGATGATAAAACTGCGCGGCGGCGGC